ACAAGAGTGATTGAAGGTAATCAACTTTATTCGGCAACGACCTGCAGTTTGTGCTAAGTATTTCCGGAATAATCATTTGATCTATGGCCATAGGCTTCAGAGGTTGTTGCCATCCACCGTGGTGCTTCTTCTTAAATTCCCTATCAACTTGCGAAGTGATAGGTTGTAATGATTTTAAAAACGCGCGAGAATATACAATACGATTGGTTGACATAATTAAATGATTAAAACAATATAGAAATAAGAAATTTGATACAATATACTCGATGACAGAAAACGGTAGCCCAGAGTTCAAGCAGGCCGCCAAAAGCCCGGACACTCTGTGGACGATAGTGTACGTTATATGTGTATATCAAATATCAGAAAAAAGCCTGTTAAGTCATAGAAGAAGAGATGATTGGAGTACAGAAATCGTTATCTTTCCCAAGAAATCTTTTTATCAGATGAACAATCATGAATATATTGTAGAAATGACACAACATTCCAACGTAAGTTCCCGTCAAATGTCAAAAGAAATAGCATGATAAAGGAAATTTGGTTGCTGAAATTGGGGGAAAAAGAAGGAATTATCGATAGTAATTGATACTCCAAAATGATGATTAATTATTATTATTATTTGTCCCTTAGGTTCCTAGTGGAACATACGACTTCAGTAGCACGTCAGCATTTCATTCTCTTCTCTGAAGTCTTTTCAACCTGACTCCAGCGCTGCCCACAACCTTTCACTTATTCCTCACATGATCTGCCTTATATCACCCACACACACACACCAAATTCGTCGTTTCCCCTCAAGGTCACACTCGATGACCTGGTCTGTACTGGCACCTGATGTCTCCAATCCGTCTTCTCAGTGTATGTCCAATCAAATGCATATCCACTTTCTTCTTCTGCGTATTTGTTGAGTGAATGGTTGTCGGTTGGTTCGTTATTAGTCAGCCAGAGTGAGTTCCTTTTTGCATATTCATATTCTTTTGGTCATCTGATCTTCAGGATCTAGTGAGCGTTGGTGGTAGCTGTTGATGATGTATGTTTGTAGTTTGTTGGAAATGTTTTTCATAACGCAGCAAGTTTGTGGACCATATGAAAGCAGTGACTTGACTGACATTAATGTTGAAAATCTGGATCTTATTCACGCTTTATGCTGAGTGCAGTGCTGTGCAGTAGATCTCCACACTGATTTCAGACTAATGAAGGCCTGTTTTGCTGACTATTTGATCCTGGCTTTGATGTCTTTATATGTGCCACCACCTGATGTTGAGACGATGCTGCCTTGTCCAGGTAGGTGAAAGAGGCTACTTCCTTTAGGTTTCTCCCGTTCATGGTGATTGGTGCCTCTTGTTGTTAATGCCGTTGTTCACTAGGTATTTTCCTCACCTGTGTCTTGTCTACGTTCAGCTGAAGTCCCGTCTTCGCTGCCTTGCCTGTTCTGTCAACTTGTTAGTTTTCGCCTGTACATCTTCGAGTTTGTGCGACATCAGACATAAATCATGGTTGGCGAAATCCAAATCTTCCAAGGTCTTTTCATAGGTTAAACGGCCTATGCCTATCTTCTAGCTCCTCACAGTTTCTTGCTTGATCCAGTCCGGTACAGTCCAGTCGACCACAATCAGCAAGAAGATAGGTGATAGTGGTGGCAACCTTGTCTTACTCCTGTCTTCATTTTACTTCAAAGGCGTCACTAAGCTTTCCATTGATACTCACTTGCCATGTAGCATCCTCATATAGCTGTTGAGTGAGGTTGATGAAGGTTTGTGACACTAATACGGTCGTTTTGAAGCAGCTGCCGAACATCTCGATCAACGCTGTTGAAGTCCTCTTCAAAGTCAATGAAGTTGAGGAAAAGATCCAGTTGACTGCCATTCTGTGCTCTGTTCTATGATGATACATAGCTTCGTGTTGCGATTTGATCCGCACATGATTTGTTTTTCCTGAAGCCAGCCTGTTGCAGTCGTAATTTTGATTCCATCTCATTTTTAGTCTACTAAAATCATGATGGCAGGGAAATAAGCTATGCTTGCGTCTTTTGAATGCATAATGATCGTTTCAAGCTTTTGAATTGGGACTGATTCAGCTTTGCGCAGTTACCTCAACCTTACTCCATTCAGAGGGCTTGTTATACTTTGTACACAATTTCAAAGGGCTTGTCTGAATGTCACTTGGGTTGAGTGTAAACCGTGGTCTACTTGTTGGGCTATGACTAAGTGTAGTGAATGCATCCTTTATAGGTGAAGAAAATCAATGGAACACCTCATGATTCTGTTATATCGGGTGAATGATTAGTTCAATGAATGAAATGAATTTTCCAAAAGGGTAGAAATCCAGTGAATATTTAGTCACAAAGTGGTCGAGATACTAAGATAAGAAGTTTAGTTAATTGCACATTTACTGAATTCAACGTATATGCACAGCCAAAAAGTTACAGGAAGAGAGACTATTGACTGAACCACTGATTCAGAACGGATACTCAAAGAAGTTTACAAACATATACAAATCAATGTATTTTTGAGATGAATAGGGATTTTTTAAATTTAGAAGTAGTATTCATCATGGACTGACATCGGTTGGGGAACCATTGAATATCCGGGAGCACTGGGCAGCTGTTTCGTCCTAGTATGGGACTACTCAGCAGTACGCACTCACGACCCTGCTATGGATGCAACTCAGGAGCTTCAGGTTTCACGGCGAACACGTTAACCATTCAGCCACTGGGTTGGTTTCCAGTGGTTCACAATTTCCAACTTCTATCAATTCACGACATAGCGCGACTATCACCCAAGGTCTTCAGTTAGCATCCACTTCACTTTTAACTGACGACAGTCCATGATGAATATTACTTCTAAATTTAAAAAATCCCCATTCATCTCAAAAATATATTACTGTATAGTGCACATTAGTGACTTGCTTTCAGATGGGTATCAAGAAGTTCTAATGAGAAGCCGTGACCTGTTGGGTCAACCAATCGGAAGTGAAGTGGTATACAAATTAGGCAAAAAATTGAGTAGTTAGAATGATTCATGAACTGTACAAAAATTTTGACAGCAATTCTAAAAGTTTATTAAAATTCGGGAAAAATTTAGTTAACACTGTTTGAAAAAGAAAAAGAAGTTAGATCTCATGGTTAGTTATCAGGTAAGCTGTGTACATCATGCGGGGTCGGTTAAAGATGCCCACTCTTTCCATCGGCACTCAGTTTTATCACAGACGTTCTAATGAAGGTCTTCTTTTCTTCTTCAGACTTCACAATGATTGATCTGATCAGGGAAGAATCCTTGATAGATCTAGAATACGCAGACGGCATAGTTTTGTTATATGACAACAAAAGTGATACAATCAGTGACAATTCGTGAATGTATGATATGGGTTGCTCGCCACCCCAATGCGCACTGTTTTCCCAGGACATGTCTTTGGTAATTCCTTATCTAACAGTAGGGAGTGAAGTGATTGAGTTCGTTATCCACCTCAATTACCTGGGATTTCAAATCTCCCTTGATGGTTTAGTGGTAAACCAATTCTCTGCATTCATACAAAAGGTTCTTATGGCTCTCACTAATTTACTCCACTTATGGAGTCGCTGTTATATCTGATCGCCTATGAAGGAAATAGTGACCTGTATTGGATTTCGCTATATTCTACTGTATGACTGTGAAACATGACCAATAAAAGTAGAAGACATGAGAAGGCTTCATATGTTTAATCACCTTTGCCTTCATAGCATAGGGTGTTTATATCATGGTGTCATAAAATTAGTAGTGAAGGCAGGTGTAGAATTCTGAGGAGGAAAGTAACGTCACTTGGTATGGTTCTGAAACTTCATCGACTGAGATGGCTGAGACATGTTTCGCGCATGCCTAGTGATCATCTGCCTTGCTGCGCAAGGTTTTCTGAAGTAGGTTTTGGCTGAAAAGCAGGCTGAATACGTTCAGCTGATACTCAGTCAAACTGGATATAAACCGAACTTTATTCATCAATAATACTTGTATGGAAATAAAGTGAATACGTTAAACAAACGGCCAAATATAAATTATCATATTTGGTATAACCTGTTTCGTTTGTAAAGACATGGAATTTTGGCATACAAACCAAATCGGAATATACTGAAGTAGTCATATCTAGAAACCCTGTCAGAAACAGACAAAATGATACAAGGTAGTCAAATATTAGTTAAGTAGATTTCAGAATGAACGTTTTAAAAAACTAAATTAGGCTAAATGAAATGATCGAGGTTGGAAAGAAAGATCCTGAAGTTTATGCAAGAAAGCGTGAACTATATGGTCAGGCAGGTTACACGTGAGGAAGATAGTAGCGCTATATTACGAACTACCAGAAAATGGAAAGCCTGTAGCATCCAATTCCTATCTAGTCAGTCAAAATGAGACCTGATAAACTTGGGTTCAACCCCTCATAAAGTTCACTTCCCCTTGAACATTTTAATTGAATGATACATCTATCTACACCCTCATTTTCAAAATACTCACACTACATGGTGAAACGTGTATATCCATTTATAAAAATGTTCTTTTTATAACTTCTTTCTGTCCCTACCGGTGAACAGTGAGAGCTATTTCATCTCAGTTGTAACCTAGTTGATAACAAACTTTTATTAGCACATATAAAACTCCATAAATTCTGTCTATTCTTAGAATTACCAAAGTTGTGATATTGTTTTATGAATCTACAGGTGTACAACAGTTGATTTCGCAGTCAGGAAACGTTTTTTACTGTCTACTACAAAGCCTAACATTTAATTTACGAAATAAAAATTACTACAGAATAAGCTGATAGGTAGACTTCTCATAAGTTCTGAGTGGTTAAAACATTTTGACTTGCTGGGTTATTTTCTTATGAATATCTAATTGGATATGAATTACAAGTGGCCTTGAGAAATAAGTCTGTCATCATAATGATTGGCTGAAATTCGATCCAATCAAATTCACGCTTAGCAAAATGACGACACCTCTTTCTACTTTAGTCATGCTTTTTGGGTTAAAATCATGATTTATTCTAGTTCCCCAATGTTAATTACACATTTAGTTCAACAAAATCATAGATTTCATCAAAGTAATCATACCTTAACAAATAGATGTCTACCGCGTGGTCAGTTGTGATCAATAAAACGATGTTAATCAGAAATTGAAACATCGTGTTATCCTTGTTTGCTTGAATTGACTAAGTTATGCTCAATATTTGCCTGTTTGAATGGAGTTGGTGTAATGTTCATCAACGCTTTCAAATAGTGTTGATTTTCTTTTGCATAAATGTTATTGAATCACGAACTGTTAGACTTCAAATTGATGAAGAATTAACAGTTAACACACAGATTGGAAATTTATTCAACAATGTTCAAGGTGGAATAAGTAACTTACGATTTGTTAAAATTTCAAACATTGATGACTCCTCAGCGTTTTTCTCTGTAGATCAATTTTCTGGGGATATAACAATTGCTCGTAGATTGGATAGAGAAACTTTATGTATTCCAGGTGGACAGGTGAATAAAAATGAAATTTATGAAAATTCAGCTGAAGAATGGGCACCCAGTTTATCTTCAACTTCCAAGTGTGAATTATATTTCAGTGTAAATTGCCTAAATACTACACCAATCTTAAATTTATCTAATCCAAGTAGAGCTAAAACCCCAGTAAGTAATAAGCTGGTAGCTATTTTTGATGTGGTCGTGGAAATTAAGGATATAAACGATAATGGATGTAATTTTATGCCGTCTAGTGAACAGACAGTTCACATTCGCGAAGATTCATCCATACACAGTACACGCATCACTTTGAATACTCCGTACGATCCAGATGATGCTACCTTAGGAAATACTGTTTTACCCGAACGTGTTTGGATCCATACTGAATCTAGTAGAGGAACCACATTGACTGATCAAAACATAAAACGTACTTTTAAACTACACAGTCTTTCATCTTCCAAGAACACTACAACGTCGAATGTCAACTTGGAATTAGAGTTGATCAAGGCATTGGATTTTGAACAACAGAAAAACTTTACGTTTCAGGTTGTAGCTGATGATGGGTTCCCATCAGGTGACCATCAATGTCGCCTTAATGTAACTATACTTGTTGAGGATTGTAATGATCACATTCCAGTCTTTGAGCAGACAACTTATGTTGCCAATGTTAGTGAAGACACACCTATTGGCCATCCGGTTATACAAATTAAGGCTAATGATGCAGACGAAGGAGAAAATGGGAAAGTCCTATACGGGTTTGATTCAAGTACAGATAATGTTGACGACAGTAACCTCTTTTACGTTCATCCAGATACCGGTGAAATAAAGCTCCAACGTCGTCTAAATTATCGACAGCGACATCAGCATACACTGCAAGTAATCGCTAAGAATCCTGATGAAACTAAGCCACGACGTATGCAACCATTTCAAACCCTTTCGAAATCTTCTACTACTCAGGTTATTATAAATGTTATTGACATAAATGATCATTTCCCGCGTATTCGTATTCTATCGCCTACTGGATCAAAAAGCTTAGAATTACTTGAAGAATCGCCTCCTGGCCAAGATATTGGAATATTGGATGTGTCAGATGGAGATACAGGAAAGAATGCTGAAGTTAACTGTAGACTAACTAATCAGACAGTTTCAGATGTTTTACGCTTAGTACCTATGAATAATGGAATGGTAAACAAAGGAACAACAGTTTCAAATCGTAAGTATAAAATAACTTTAGAGAAACGGATCGACAGAGAGGAATATTCAGTCATAGAGTTCACTATTCTGTGTCATGATAGTGGAACACCTTCTTTATCAAGTAAGCTTACACAACGGATAGGGATAATTGATATAAATGATCACGATCCAGTTTGTGAACAAACTATGCATACAGTTGAAATCACTGAAGATACTGATCCGAAAAGAGGTAATGTCAACTTTGAAATTGTAAAAATTCATGCTATAGACAAAGATATTGGTCAGAATGCCAAGTTACGTTTTAGCCTAGATCAGGAGACTCCAATTCATCTTTTAAAGTTGATTACAGTTGACTCACAATCAGGAATTCTAAAAACCCTAGGGAATTTAGATCGTGAAGAGTTAGATAAATTTTCTATAACTATAGTTTGTTCAGATCATGGAGAACCGGAAAGAATGACAAAAGCATTCATCAATGTGAATGTTTTAGACTATAATGATAATCCACCAGTTTTTTCTAAACCTTACTTTGAATTTACAATGACTGAAAATAATCTCCTTGGTCAATGGATTGGTACTATTTATGTAAGTGATAAAGATTTAGGTGAAAATGCTGAGTTGGAAATAAACATAGAGGAAAATCTTGAAACACCACATGTACATTTATCTGTTTTGAATAACAACTTAAATCTACCTAATGATATTGACCAGCTAAGATTTATTTCAAGTGGTTTAATCACTTCATCTGTTATAAGACAAAGAAAGTATACTGAATACACTTCAAAGTTTAGACTGAATACACAAAAACTAACCAATAGGAATAATTCATTATCAGTCAATCAACTAACAATAATTTATGAAGTGAAATTGTATATAGAATCTGTAATTGATCGTGAAAACTTAATAATGAATAATAATAATTTTTTATCTGAAGGTTCTTTCAATTATAAATTATATGAAAATCATATGAATAATAATAATAATAATTATAATAATGGATTATCTTCAATGTTAAGTAGATCAAATTATTCTACATTGAAACCGATTATTTTTTTATTAATACGTGCACAAGATAAAGGCATTCCAAAATTATCTGAACATATCTCAGTTCGAATACATATTCTAGATGAAAATGATAATTCACCTCATTTTATATTTCCTGATTCAACAAATTTGAATAAAACAAGAGTAACTGTATCTTATAAAGAACCAGTGGAGTATTCATTTACACAAGTAAGTAAATTGTATATGCCTATTATAAAGCGTTAATTATTATTATAGTAATTATTCGTTGCTTAACTCTACATTTGGATCAAATGTTACATTTCAACCCATCATTATAACTTCTCTTTTTCTGATGATTTTTAAAACAGTTTGCTTACAAACACAGTAGAAGTACATTAGATGATGCATCATAACATTGTTTCTAGTTCCAATACTGTTAAATATGTTCGTTGTGACTTTTTGAATTATTCATCAACCTTTGACTCTATTCCTAGATTACACGTATTAAATAAACTCGTCAAAGCTCATACTGAGCCACAGGTTACAAAATCGCTGTATTCTTATTTTTCTGTCAATAAAGGGATGCACTTGGCTTCCTTCCTTAATGAAGCTGGTATGCCTCAAAGTGTGATACTTTTCCTTTTTCTGTTTCGTTTTTTTTTGCACAACTTACCTTATTCTGTTAAAATTAACCTGACGAGCTGTTTAAATCTCATGACGCCTGTGGCATCATTGGTGGTATTTCTGAAGAAAGTAAATCGAAGGAAGTGGAGATGGATTGGGCATACACTGAGAAGGCCGACGGAGGACATCACGTGTCAGGCCAGTTGCTCGAGTGGAATCCTCTTGGGAAGCGACGAGTTGAACGTCCGAGGGTGACATGGAGGAGGTCGTGCGAGGTGGAAATGAGAGGTTGTGGGCTGTCGTGGGACCAGGTTCAAAAGATCTCAGAGAACAGAGTTCACTGGAGACGTGCTACTGAAGTTGTGTGTTCCACTAGGAACCCAAGGGACTAATAATAATAAATGTCAGACTGTTAATTTTAACCTCAGGTGTAAAGAAGACTAGAGTTAGCTGTTTAAATCCGATGACTCATGTCACTACACTGTTGATATTTCTGCAGAAAGTAAATCGATTGTTAACTATCTTGAACTGACTATTACCTCTGATCTCTCTTGATCGTGTCATATCTTGTTGACTTGTTAAAAAGTCTCTCGTTTTACTTATTAGATAAAGAAACTGTGGGTCTGGTACAACTCAATCTCTGCTTTTACAATTTATTATTTCCTGCATTTTCTCCGTTCTTTTAACAAGTTCCTCATTGATCTTTCCTGGTCTACTAAAAAAAGGCTATGCTATATGCCTCAGGGCTTTGAAAACTGTCAGTAGGGTGGGTGATGTGCTTCTGGTTCAACTGATTAACAGTTTAGTTGACAGACATTTAAATTCTAGCAAGGAAATAACGACAGTAATTGTAACTGACACTGGGCATCCATTTGATTCACTGGTTTTCTCTATGCATCTCCTCAGGGAGGACAAGAAGAAACTACATAAGACTGTACGCCCATACAACGAAGTATAAGAATTCGACTATACCTTGCCTAGCGCGTGTATTATGTAAGGAAAAGTGTGTTAGAAATAACACATCAACTTTGTAACATTTAAAAATCTCATTTCAATAATTTCAATAACACTGTAAAATGTTCTCCTTTTTAATGCTTTTATAATAACATAATTTCGAAATGTTGTAAAGGAGTATGTATATACAGATATATTTTGTTATTGTTGCAATATATCATGGTGCGAATTCCAAACTGTACCACAAACTGTTTAGAACAAAGTGAATTATCATTATTATTATTACTATTAATGAACCATACTAGGCGATTCATTGTGTCTTAGCATGGCAAAGGAAGTTGTTGATATTATGCTGCGAAGTTTCACTATCCTACTTATTATGACTAATTCCATATCAGATTTATTTATTTTATGTAGCGCACAGTGATACAGTATTACTTACTTGATGACGTAATGTAATCACACCACTTTCAACATCTTTTCTTTATAGACCTATCATTTGGTATTATTTTGTTTTTAGTGGTAGAAAAAGTTCCAGCATCCCTGGTATGGGTTTTATTGTCGTTTCTAATACATTTGTTGAGTGTTGATTCGATAAACATAGTTAGCTGCTTATTCAGTAGAATCCAACGAATGTGCAGAGAGAATACTTTGTAAGACGAAAGAGGAACATTGATTGAAATACTGTTGGAAAATAACTATCAGGTTGCACAAAATAATCAGAGCGCCAAAACCAGATCTTCAGTTTGTCCATAAGAATAATGTCTTTATCAGTCTTCTGTACACAGGTAACTCTCATAGTACAATCCTTAAACAGGGACCTAACGCTGCAGTCAGAAGGACTTACTATGCAACCAGGGTTCGATTATTGTAAACCATCAAGCCCGTTAGTTCTCCCAAACGACAATATCACATCTCACTGCATCTACTAATTCGAATCTATGCGTGGTGACACATACATAGGGAGGACTCACTGATCCATGTAAGTAAGAGCCTTGGAACATATTCCAAAGTGGCTTGAGAATCAAATTAAACCATTTGAACCCATAAATGTTGGTAGCAGACGTTCAAGTTGTTTGATTGCGAAACATATTGTTGAGACAAGTCACTGGATTGATATGGCTACTTCCTTTACACCTATTTGCAAAAGGCGTTGGAGATGGATCCTTTAATTTGTTGAGGCCTTAGCTACTAGGAAGTTCAAACTTACCTTTGTGTGTTCATAGACAATTTTTTATCACACTAAGTCTCCCCCTTGGTAAGTTCAACTATAAAAACTAGGTTCAATGTACCATTATTTTCGCTCCAATGATTTTTATGGTTATTCGGCCTTTAATTCAGCCTTCCTAATTGACCTCTTTCATTTTCTCACCCCTTATCATATTTTAATATACATAACTATGAAAAGTACGTGTGTGATCAAATAGTTCGAAAATTGTTGCGCAAATACATAATTACACGGTTCAGACAATTTACGTATTATTGTTTTATTGAAGTTTATAAAGGGAACTCATTGTTTTGAACATAGATTCGATAACCAGATTCTCCCTCCACTTAACTACATTGGATTTAAGCACAGTGGTTTTATCCCACCCCATAGTGGGGTTGTGTGTTAATGCGGAGATTTTGATCCCCTTGGAATCTATCATTCCGCATTTGACTAAATCCCTAGTTTCCAATTGTCTGATGGAACCCATGTACTTGATTTCACAGACATTGTATAGTGTTTAGTAGGTCAAGTTATTTTGTGCGATAAGGTCAGTCCGATACTGAGTGCAACAAACTTTATGTATAAGTTTGTAGGTCTGAGCGCCGCCTTAATTCCAGCATTCCTGAGAAGTTTAAGTAAAGTTTCCTACCTTCCTACGTTGAACAGGAACACAATAGAAGCCTTAAACTCTTGTCTGCTAACGTTACCGTTACTATTTATAACACTATTTCCAATCCACTTCTTAAGTGTTATTAGAAATTTTTAATAAACTCTAGAAGGCAATTAATAATTAGTAGTACTTTCTCTAACTGGTTTATTTTAGCTCTTGAATAAAATAATGAGTTTCCGATCATTTCATAGAAGTTTGAATACACTTGGACAAACTAGTAACCCTCTTCACCTCCGTCCACATGAACAACAGTTGGCTATTAAACGTCACATATGACATTCCATTACTCATTTCAATGCTTGTGGATAATTATGGACATGAATTGAATTTCGATAGTGTAGAGAGAGGAAACACAAAAATATGAGAGAACCCCTAGAAGCTTGGCATTCAGGACAGTCAGTCAGTCAGTCAGCAATCAATAGATGTATAGACATACACCCAATCTATCAATCAATAAGAAAAATGATAAACGATAGAAAAGTGAGGTCAAGCAGAGGGACAGCCAACAGAAAAGTTTATAAAGTCAATGACACAATCAAAGGAAACAACCAATCACAGACCACTTTTTCAAGGCAATCTACTAAATCACACAAGGAGAGATTGACAGCTCACTTCAAACTGAAGTTAGTGCTGATGATGTCGTCCAGAACAAGGACGATGAAAGCTTCATGATTAAACAGGCCAACTCAGAGAACACAATACAACTAAGACCATCCACCTGAGCTACAAATATTCTAAACTATTTGGAATAAATTATCTGTATTTTCCAATTATAGTACAGTTTTTATATGTCACTCACGTATCGCCACTACATTGCTACTTCTTCTGGTTGTCTGCATATTTTACCAAAAACTCTAAAGCTACTGAGATCAGATTGTGAGCTACACATAAAATGATCTGACTAACTAACGTAATGGCTCTATGAATTAGTTCTGAGCCAATATTCAGCTAATTTCTGACTGCCTCCAGTGCCATACTGGTTACTATCTTAGTAAGAAGATTTTTACATAGAAATTGACCATTTTTTTCGTCATCTACATGAAGCCTATCAAGTTTTCGTTTTGATTCGTAGGAACTGACTAGCCTAAAATCAAAATATTTGTAGTCTGACACTATGTCGATAATAAATACTTGGATATTTCATACACTGGAGTGTTTACTATGTCAACTACTGGTCTAATAAAGTAATTTGCTTATTAAACCTTAATGATACTAGAAATTCTGTTTAGACTATTAGTTTTAGGCATACAGTCCAAGCTGATATGATTTTGAAATAGTGGAGAATATTTATAGCTAAGGTGGATGATCTTGGTTTTATTATGTTCTCTGGATTGTTCAATCATAGAGATTTCATCGTCTTTCTAGACGACATCTTCAGCGTACAACTTCATACTGAAGTTGTTAAGTGGATTTGACATAATCTCATTTTGAGTAAACCGGTCTGTAGTATTAATTGTTCACTTAGATAAATTCAATTACAGACAGAAGAAACTGCTGGAAAATGATAATAAAACTATAAGATAGTACTAGTTTCGATCTGGAAGATTTTCTCGAGGGATAATCATATTGATTAATTTTGTAAGTCCACGAAAATAAATGAGATTCTTTATGTGTCTAATATCTCTCTGGATATTGAGATAATCTTTAGATGAAGTCTGATCTTCACAGTAGCATCGACAGAAGTATTTTCATTGAAAAATCTTCTATACATCGCTTATCCATGATATGCACATCTGTATCTAAACAAGATCAGGTTTATAGAGTATTTGA